TATAATAAAGGTATTATTTTTTTTCATTTATTTATTATCTTTATTTTAATTTTTTTACTGTGACTTGATTTTAGCAAATTTATTTTGTTTCTTTTTCCCATATTGGTTCGATTTTTTAAAGTTAACTTTAATTATTTTTCATATTTGATTTAATTTGCATGTTTGTCTCAATTTGACTTTAATGCTCTTAATTTAGTTTTTTCTTCCTTAGGATATACGTGATTCATGCTATGGTTTCCATCCTATTTTGCTTTTTTTAATTTCTTAATTATATTTCCTTTTATTAAAAATTATTTATCTTTGCATCTATATTAATTTGACGATTTTTAATAAAATGATGAATCACGGCATGAATCACGTATATCCTAAAGAAGGAAAAACTAAATTAAGAGCATTAAAGTCAAATTGAGACAAACATGCAAATTAAATTAAATATGAAAAATAATTAAAGTTCACTTTAAAAAAATCGAACTAATATGGGAAAAGGAAACAAAATAAATTTGCTAAATTCAAGCCACGATAAAAAAATTAAAATAAAGATAATAAATAATACCCACGTGTCAGATATCCAGGTATAGCGCGCTGCAGGGGCCGCGCTATACCCACGTGTATACCAGATCACCGTATAGCGCGATGCAGGGGGCGCTTTACTGCTAAAGGAGTTAGATCCAAAAATATAATCTGACCGATGTTAAATCAAAAAATATACTGTTCACCGGTGATATATCAAAAAAAATCGCCACAAATCTTAGTTCTTAACCGGAAAAAAATAAAATTAAACCTCTAAAAATGGCGATCATCGAACGGTACTAAATGCTTCGAAATAAGACACGTGGCTTATTCTATACGATTGATAAAGCATTAATGGTATTTTGACTACACATCCTCAAATTACGACTCTCATTATAAACTAGTCTTTAAAGTTTTTAATATTTTAATTTTATCCTTAAAACTATAACTTTCATTCATAATTAATCCGAAAAATTATAAATATTATAATTTCATCTTTACGACCCTGATTTAAAATTGATCCTTAAATTTTTTTAATGTTTTAATAACGTCCTCAATCTATCAATACATGTTAATATGTCTATCGTTGATAATATCATTATGAAAATTATTAATTACTATGTCAATATTGATATGTGTTATATAATAATATAATGTGATATAAATGATAATTATGTTTAACTTGATTAATATTATTAATATATATTATGAAGAAGAAGGTGAGGTTGAGTGTGTTAAATGCTTAATATCTTTTAATTTATGGATAGAGAAATAAAATAATATATACATTATATGAAAAATATATATATATAAATCTTGAAGAATTATAATTAATCCCTTATATAAATAATATGTGAATTGTTTCAAAATTGATTATAACTATTACGAGATGTATTATTTACAAGTATGTTTATATTTAACACTTATAGCTTGACCCAAAAGAAACATCAACAGCTTTTTCGCTTTAAATTTTGTTAAATAAATCATATAGGAACTAATATATAAATTCTTTATCAAAATGAAATGACAAATACTTCATATTATATGATATTATTTATTTAAGATTGAAATAAAAAAAATCAACCCTTAATTTTTATATTTTAAATGTTTAAACTATATATTTTTTAAAATAAATACTTAAATTATCTTATTTTTTTTAATTTTTTAAACATAAAGACTATCTTCAATAATCTCTAAAACTCGTTTTTTATCTTCTAAACCACTTGTAGAAACTCATTTTCAAGCACAAATCCATAGTTTTTAATTGTGTTTTGTTCTACTTTACTGTTTATCTCTCTATAAAAAGACAATATACATAAGTTAAAAAGCATAAGGACAAATTATTATTATAGCTTAAAATTATTCGATTAACACCAATTACCCTTGACAACCACATGATTTTGTTTGTTTTTGTTTTTGGGAACTTTAATATTTAGTGTCGAGATATGATAACCCTGCAAAAGTTTCAAGCTCAACTAGAAAACATGCAAAATTTTCAAATTCAAGAGATGAAGTCTAAAATCCAGCAATACAAAGCAATTAATATTGTCTAAAAGCAACCTACTAAACTCAGCGAAATAGCGACGAAGGGAGAGGGTGTTGTTTCTCTTCCAGGTTGCCCTTCGAGGAGGCCGATTCTTGTGGTGCAAGTGCGCCTTTCCATGCAGACCCCTGTTTTTCTTTCCAGCAGATGTGAGTCCTCGAAGCTCCCTGTGCTTATGAACAGGGTTACAGATCCAGTTAATCCTCGGGTCATTGCGATGGCTTTGTGTGCAACATCAACCAGGATAACCTCAAAGTAATTGTAAGTGGAATCCTACAAGATCAAATATGCACGAAACTATGAGGGCAATGCCACCAAACAATGCAAATTCAAAAGACAACCAAAACATTTAGCAACTCCAACAAACCTCATTGATCCAGAACGAGTTAACAACTCTGAGACCACCCAACTTTCGACCAGCACGCTCCTCTGCAACAGATTGCTTGCTGCGCTGGAACTTCAATTGGGTAACACCCTGATTTGTGGGCTTACCATAGACAATACCCTTTGGAACAGGCCTCTTTCGACCACCCCTTCTTGCACGAACACGATACACTACATAGCCCTTTAAAAGTACACATAAATCTGTGAGATGCATGTCTTCGAAAATTGAAAACAAAGCAGATGCTTCATACCATTTCATTTCAGAAATAACACTTGGAATCTCCATTTTGCTTCAAGCGCTCAAGTCCAAAATAACATGAGTTTAGGAATATGTTACTCTAAACATCTTCCAAATACATGGATAGAATATCCTACTCTAGCGCATCTCTATCTCTACTGTAGAGATGAAACAGTAATTCATCTTCAGCGCTATCTCTACATTACTACTAAATCTACTTTATTCATAATATTTAACTATTATAATATTGATTTTAAAAATATAAAATAAAACATATATATTTCTAATAAATATCAAGATAAAAAACATAAATAAAACATTCATAAATAGCAATCCGATCGTCGGCAACAACCAATCGAAAGATCGTTTTTTGCAGCGTGTTGAAGCAAAACACAATGGCGCATCAAAACCTTCTAACATTGCCGATCGTAATTCTAGATCGATACAATGTCGCATGTCTACCATTCTCAAAGACAACCGAAAATTCAACAGTTGTATACAACAAGTTGAACATAGTCATTCAAGTGGTGCAAATCAACAAATAATCGTAAGTAATAATTTATATTATTTTCATTAATTTTTTATTTTACATGAAACAATAATAATTTTATTTTTTATAATGCATCTACAACGTGCAAGTGAACTTTTCGTGCAAGAAAGGGGTTGTGCATTTAAGTTTGATCATGTGTTCGATTTGGTAAAAGATATTTTGCAACTTGAAAAAACGAGTGCAGTTTCTTCACTGTCTCCAGAAAAAATTTCAGATTCCGTTAACCTTTCATTGTCTTCATTTGAAATCAATTTAAGCAACGATGAAAATATTAATACAGGTGGTTCTTCTTCCCATCGAACAGAAGGTGTAAAAAATCATAAAAAATATAAAAAATACAAAAAAATACAAAAAATCAGAAAAATTACAAAACAATTAGTATTTTTATATATATAATTTTAATGTATTTTTTTATTTTGTAATTTAATTTATTTGAATTAAAAAAAATTGTAGCGTATGCGGCGCGGTACTGTAGCGAGAGATGTGGCGATGGGCTGAAGGGGTTTTTTTCTCCCGATATTCTCCAAATGTGGAGAAGCATCGGAGATGCCCTAAGAAAGTATCCGACAGACAGACAGACACAGGCACCCAAATCTGAGTAACGAATAAATAAAAAACACCAAGAAATAGCATCTGTCACTTGCAAAAAACTAATTGTTTGACATAAATCTAATTGGGTCTAAAGAACATCTATTAATTAAGTTCTGGAGAACAAGCACTGATCAAATTAAATTGTGAAACTACATGGTTTAGAGTGAAACTGAATCGGAAATTACTTGCTTGGCCTTGTAACCCAAGCGTCGAGCATTGTCAGAACGAGTAGGGTGATTAACCCTTACAATAGCTGGATGCTGACGGTATTCCCAGCACCTCACCCTCTGTAAAGACCTCATTACATCTGATTGCTTCTTCCTCCATAGCTCCGACACGTACTTGTAAGCCCCTACATTTTAAATAACCCCAGAATAATTTAAGGCAATGCATGAGTACTTGTTTCGAAAAACTATATGAAACCCAGGAGAAAATTGATTGATAAAAAAAGAGAGCAAAGAAACGATATGTAGCTAAAATCAATAACGAAGGAAAGAAAGAGACTGAGGTTGAGAGAGTACCCATTGGCGAGCATAATAACCATTTTATAAGGACGAGCCCTGATTGTGAAACAGCCCGCCACTAGACCCCTTGGCCCAAACCGGCAATCTAAGTTTCTCACTTTCATTAAGCAGCAGCATCCTTCGGCCTAGGCCCAATAATAAAATTATTTTATGTTATTTAAATATTAGTCAGATACTTAATTTCTCTATTAAAAACAAGAAATTGTGAAAAAAAATTAAAAATCAAATTGAATCATAATAATTTGATTTGAACATCGATGTAATCAGTTGCAACTTGTTCTGTTCTTTTTTTTTCTTTCCTAGGAGAGAAGGGGAGAAGAAAGAGATCATAAAACATGGGTTTGATTTTACTTGGAATAACACCATTGATTTTATGTAATTATAATTTTTATATTTTAAAATTTAAATACAAAGACTAATGCTCAAAACTCATTATTCTAAAACCCTGGGGAAATAAAATGAAAAGAACTCAAAGTGTACTAAAAGCAACTATTGCAAAGGAGTAAGATGAGAAAGACACGTTTAAAGATACAAAACAACACGTGTAGCAAATGTTGCACATAAACAAGGCAGAAAGGCAACACGTGGAGTATTAGTGGCAGCTATGAATAAATATATAAATAAACAGGATTCACGACAAATTGTAACCAAAAAGTGAAGATGGCACAAAGCAAGGAAGACATAAAGCATGCGACGGCACAGGCGAAGCAATCGGAGGATGAAAGTTTGAGGGTGGCTTACAAACATGGCATTCCCCTTGAAGCTGGGAAGATAGCAGAGTCTTCTCCGGTGGACCTCTTTTCCAGTGCCCAACGCATTCATGAATCCTCCCCTCCTCACCAGTCGAAGCAATCTCACCCTCCCACAAATGCCAACAACACTTCCTCTGCCTGACAAATCTCATCAGTTTCTGTTTTTTTTTTTTTTTTTTAGTTGAGACGGTCTTTGTTCGTGAATCAAGTTTCTCTAATAACGACTAATCAGCATAATAAATGGTAGTCTTTTATAACTCCATTCAAACTTCACAAATTCTGTGGTCGCTGATCAACTGTATTACTGACCCTGATATTATTGATGAAGCAAAGAAATGCATATGGCTACAAAACAAGCTAGGTACTGTAAAAATGAATTCCCATGGAGGTACTGTAATTCTAAACTTCAAAAGACTAATAGAGCAGTACAAAGAAACAAGTTAGGTACCTGACATAAATGCTCCCCAGCAAACATTGCTAAATCAATCTGTTAAATAACATGAACCATGAACAACACAAAAGACTAGCATAATAAAATAACATTTAAGAATACTCAAATTCAATGTATATTAATACGTATATGTCGAATTTGGTAAGTTTGAAACACAGGAATAATCCTTGCAAGAGAGGGTGCAGCAATTCCAACAAATCCATCATTTGGACCAGGATTGCGAAGAGCAATACTAGTTCTCTTGCCAAAAAGTCATTTTCACGTGCCAACCTCATGTGCAGGAACATGAATGTTCTCCATTTCAATAGACTCAGAAATGAAGCACATGCATGGAGCCTGTATTTTGTTACCGTCAACATCAGATTTGCATGAATTAAAGTCTACATGATAACAAACAACTAGAATATTCTTGTCAGTATGAACATGTAGCAGTTCACATAGTGGAATATAAAGCTAAACTCCAAGCAACCAACAATACACTTACCACAGCAACTGACTCACCACTAGAAAACCACAATGAACTTCTATCACAGTAATTTCAAGGAGCAAAACAATCTGCCATATTTCGCAATAACCTTTTCTTGAGGCTTCAACATTATCTGGTAAATTAAAGAACACCAAGATTGAAATAAGAAAAGGTTTCACAAACAGAGACATGAGCCCATAGGCACTAAAACAATGAAAAATTATAGGGGGGAAAAGCTTGTAAGTACCTGAACTATTTGAGCCTCACCGCCCAATATTTGAAATGGGATCACGGCATCTTGCTGACTATACAATTTAATACCAACAAAATATTATTATCACATATATACATGCTGAGGGATTTAGACTACACCTGATTTACATTATAATTTCCACTAAATCTGCGAAAATATTTACTTTTTGCCTCATACGACACTTGTACTGGTTACTAATCACAGTTTTATCGCTGAAGTTTCAAGAGTAAACGAAGTTGAATAAAAATTAATTGTATAAGGATCAACTTCAGCAGAAATGAAATCAGAGTCAACTCTATTTAAGGAGATCTGAATCACAATATTTTTGGCGATGCGAGTTGAACATGATAGATCAAACGGCACAACATAGACTAAATTCTATTAAAGTTTAAGCCAATTACCAAGAGAACACTGTTCAGTTTCCTTAATTTTACCAATATTTTCTCATGAAACAAATAGAAAATCAGTGTAAGATTCAAGAGTTTTCGGAAGGAAACAAAATTACCTGATAAACGTAGGGTTGAAAATAAAGGGGCAGCCATTGAATGATTCCGATACTGAAATTAATTTCTTGTAATTTCGAGGTTTTGATCCGATTTTCTACAATTTAATTGCTAATTCAGAAGGGGGAATTAATAAAAACAGATTGCATGTTTTTTTTTTTTGCTCAGCTTTTGTTCGTTATAGAAGCGGGCGATGAAGAAGCCGAGAATAAATAGTCGGCGACTCTAATTACGTGAATAACCATAATAATTTATAGTTTTGGCGAGGATATTATTGGGTGGCGGTTTAGTCCTTTTGAATCTGATTACTAATCCTCAACTCAACCGACGGTTTTAATAAAATTGGTAACATAAAAGAGCAATCAATAACAGTAACACAAACTTGAGGCCCGTCTCAGACAACTATCTCAACGGTCAACCCAGTAGAAAACAAAGAAACAGGGAGCCATATCTCATCACCACCAAGTTCAAGCATAGAAAATAGAGGAATGAACCTAAATACAAGGCTTTCAGCTGTTCATGCACCAAGATCCATGCACTAATACGATGATACAATATTGCATTTCCATATTCCTCGTCTGTTATTTCTTTAAGCAACAAAATACTCCCAGAGCCGTGATTCTGCGTACCCAAAACCGTCTTCAATGGTGTCATCACCGGTTGCCGTTGAAGTCGAAGGCCAAGGAAATGAGCTCCAGAACTCATCAATCTGACAGTCCATATGCAGCAATAGATCCGGAAGGTCAACAAATGCATCGTCATCGTCGTTGTCGTTATCTTCGTTGATTAAAGGTGAGCTCGACGAGTCTCGATGACGAGTCGTTTGATCATTACTCTCCACTACACAGTTGCTTTTCTCGTAGTTCGTGGCCGCCGTTTGATCATTACTCTCCACTACACGGTTGCTTTTCTCGTAGTTCGTGGCCGCCGCTATAGCTTTTACCTTGTTACTTAGAAAAATTTAGGAAACCAAAGCTTTTGGTTCAACATAAAAATGGGGAAGAATCGAAGAAGCATTGTGTTCCCAGCATGTTCCCCGAAAGATACAGCTTCCGACGATTCTCAATTACTACATCATCTCAAAAAATAATTCTGACGATACATTAATTCAACTAATATTTTTTTCAACAACATCACAACAGCAAATCAGCCCATGTGAGAGGGTGGGGGTCCCACCAAATGCATCATCTGCCGTTGGTCCACTGTCTCATCCCCGACTAGTCCAATCCCGGCACCACATCCCTTGGGCCCATCTGCCCCCATCCTCATAGCCCATAGGCCGTTCGATACACTTCGTCCTCGGTCGTAATTACAACCAAGTTCAAAGGTGTAAGCATGTTTAATTAATTTTTGGCGTTAAATTAATAATTAGTGAGGCTAATTGAGTCTTCCACCTTCAATCTGGATGGTGGGAAAAGAAGTTCAAGTGTAAAGTGTTAATTCAACCAAAGCTTTTAAAAGCACACATTGTTTCACTTGTAATATATAAGGGATAACTCTCACTACAACAAAACTGTTCTGTAACGGCGTTTTTAGTGGCGTTTGTTGATAAAACGCCACAAAAGTATTACATATAGCAGCGTTTTCAATCCAAACGCCATAAATTGAGACTTTAGCGGCGTTTTTTGTGAAAACGCTGTAATAGAGTATAAATATAGCAGTGTTTTTGTTAAAAACGCCGCCATAGGATGGTATATAGTGGCGTTTTTTCAACAAACGCCGTAATTAATAATAGTTTTTGCATCGTTTTTAGACAAACGCCATATAAAGGTTAAACAATAGCGGCGTTTATAGTAAAAACGCCGCAATATAGCAGACATGTAGCGGCGTTTTAGCTAAAACGCCGCAATATAGTGTTAATTTAGCGGCGTTTATACCAAAAACGCCGCAACAGAGTGGTAAATTAGCGGCGTTTTTTGTATAAACGTCGTAAAAACATGTGATATAGTGGCGTTTCTAGACACAAACGCCGCAATATATATGGACATTAGCTGCGTTTATTAAAAAAGCGCCCCAATAGAGTATAACTCTAGCTGCGTTTGTATTACAAACGCCGCAATTGTTACTTAAATCCTGCGCGAGCATTTCCCCCCTTCAAATCTCATTCTAAACCTAATTTCTTCGAAAACAAATGCTCTCTGTTGCCATTCGAATCTATTTCAGTCAAATTTCTTGCTTCCTTGATATAATTCCACTAACCTTGCAATTTCTTCTATTGCCTCTTTTTCTAAATTTTTCTCGCTTCTTTCTTTGTTCTTCTTCTTCTTTCTCTGGAAATCTTAAAGTTTTGAAGAGTTGAATCGCTATGGTCACCAAAATCCCAGCCTTGGGAGCAATGTAAGTTTCTGTTGTTCATTTCGATCAATTTTTAGAAAATCTTAAATCTACTTCCTTATTCGACGGATTACACTTTTATCGCCTCGTTTACTGACTGTTTCTTTTGCTAGATTTTAATCTTTTGCGTGAAAACCTAGAATTTCTTGCTCGAAATGATGAAATGTCAACATGCTACCTTAGTTATTGATTACTTGTTTAATTTATTTTCCTAATTCTATTGCCTTCTGAACTACTTCTCCATTGAGTTGACATATAGAAGTTAATTTTTAAAAATGGAAATTATGCTGATGAGTTTGGTTGTAGATACATTGAATCATGCAGGAGGTACGGTGTCGCACCGAACTCTGGATTTTTATCTTCTCTCTTTAAGGTTTGTCCCGACTCCCGATAAGTTATTCTTAAATTTTAGTATCGCAACATGTATTCTGTATGTTTCCCAATGCTTTGAAATGAACTCTTGAGTGTTGAGAAATTAGACGAATGCGGTCGGAGCTTCTGATCATTAGATTAGGAACCTCAAATTAGCTTTCCAAGCTTGTGATTTTTCTGATCATTCAGTCGTGCTATCAGTGTATTTCAATTGCAACGTTGAATATGAGACGGAGAATTGAATATTCTTTACAGCTGTATTGATGGCATTGACTTGCCTACTGAGGATGTTGGCCACGCCTTGCAATTTCTAGAATTTTGTAAAGCTTTTGGAGAGGTGAACTTGTTATCTGTTTGTTTAGCATGCATCCTAATAGGTTAAAATTTGCACTCTTTTTAGTTCTGTATTCTCACTTGGTAGTTTTGTTTTATTTCAGGTTCTCAATATGAAGAAAGGGCAATCTCAGTTGATACTTAGAGAGTTACTTACTGGAAAAAGCAAACGTAAACACAAACTACGTTATCCTTCGATTGTGCAGTTTCATATTCGACTGCTTTCCATGATGCAAAAGGATTTGGGAAAAGAGTATTCATGTTTAAATAGATAGTCATAAACATTCAGTTCCTTGTTTTAATTGGTGTATTGATCATCTGAATTAATTCTCTGTGCAGGTATCCTTGCCTTAGTCGGGATTTAAGTGAAACTTCATGGGCTCAAGTTCTTGGAGAATACATCAGTGATTCTCAAAAACCATTAAAGCGGTCACTGTCGGATTGCTTAGATATGAGTGATGATAGATATGAGAAATTAAATTCCTCTAAAAAACTGCGACTCTTAAATTTTCTATGCGATGAATCTCTTGTCACCACGTAAGTCATAAAGTTCTTTCAATAAATTCTGGTCATGCTTTTCTTTTTAGATTCTTAAGTAAAATGTATTGATAAAAAATTTCACAATTCTTCCCTTCAGAGAATTCAGAAGCTGGATTTATGAACAAAACTCGAAATTTGTCGAGAAAGAAAAGAAAATGAAAGAAAAACTTCTTTCTCGGAGAGAGAGGGTAGTGAAGTCAATATGACAACTTAGCTCAAGCAAATGCTAGTGTTAATGTTAAAGTTATGCCTTTGCTTGTCTGATCATAATTCTTTGAATAGGAGAGAAACATGGAAAAAGAGATGAAGCATAAGTTGCAGGATGAGATAGCCAAAGCTATTATCATGAAAAACGGTGCACCTCTTTCCATTTCGGAGAATGAAGAGCTTATTTCTAGAATCAAGAAAGAAGTGGCACAAACTCTTGAAGTGGCCTATACTCTTGCAAGTACATTGGAAGTGTCCGAGACAGTGGATGAGGGTATGTTATGTTACATTGTCCTTAATAGTTGCACAAATGGATCCCTCTTTGCATATTTTGGCTGACACATTTTACCTTGCTAGTGATGCCCAAAGAGGAGGAGGATTGTCGATCATATGCTGTTAGATCGGAGCCAATATTTTGGGACGGCCATGGTCCTAAGTTTTTCAAATTCTGGAGATTGAGAGGCCACTTGGGTGAATCCAATATTCTGCTTCAAGGTTTGTCATATGCTTTGATTATCCAAAATCCGGGTTTCATCAGCTTGTCAACCGAATTGCCATTTCATTTGTTTCCGCTAATGTGCAGATATCGAGGTAGGGGATTCAGTTGCAGCAAAAGAACAATGGTACAGCTACAGCACCGAACAAAATGCTACGGTTGAAAAATATTTTTCATCTTTCAGGTATCAAAAGATGATTTTAACCGCCTACCTCTTTTCAAAAATGTCATTTAGACTTGATCATGGAAATATGGAAAGATCAAATAAGTCAGAAATGAGACCATATTTCATGTTCTTGGGATACTATTGATGTACATCTTTCATGGCCAGAATTCATCTTATGACATTGTTAGGTTATTTTTCATTTTTATCTATGTTGCTCGGACTCTTCATTTTTATCTAGCCACACCCCGGTCCGGCACTCATACCCCAATCCGAGTAACATAGTTCTTGATTGGTTTTTGCATAATGGATTTCATTAATTTGTCATTTTGTTTTGCAGGATGCAAAGGAAATGAGCAATCTATATTGCCTCATATAATTTCAAGAAAATACTGTAGCTACAACATAGTTTTATCTATCTATCTATTTATATATATGTGTTCCTCCAAACGAATCATGTTTGTATCCTCCCGTGTGTGTTACTAAAAGAAACCAAGTTATGATCTTTCAATGCAACGGAGAGGAAGCTATGGGTTATGGTCTTATACAAGATCAGTGTGTATTTTACGTACTTTCTTTGGCCCATTAAGGTTTCTCTTTAGAGAAGGCAAAATTGGCCCAATAAGTCAAGTGGGTAAACTGATTAGCCCATTAGGCCAACCTAGATTTTAATTTGAAATCTACGGTAAATATTATAGTATAGGGTAAACTCATCAAGCTCATATGATTAGTTTGTTTAGATAATTGTTTTATTCAAATTTGTCAAGTCGACGTGACAAATTTTAGAAAGATATAATTATTTTATTAGAATTTGTCATATTGGAGTGATAAGTTTTAATAAAAAAATATATTTTATTGAAATTCATTATATATGCGTGAAGGGTTTTATTGAAATTCGTTATATATGCAGAGAGAGCAGCAGTGGAAGCAGAGAAAGAAGCAGCGGCAGCACAGAGAGAGTATCAGCAGAGATGTGAAGAATTTGAAAAACGACTCAATGATATGATGCTAATGATACAGAAAACGCAACCTCAGAATCCACCATCATAGTCTCATTTATGTATGTTATGAGCATTCTGTTAATGTTATTGAAACTTGTTTAACTGAACTTATATTATGTTAATGAAAATTTATATTTATTATATTGGATTTGATGTTGTTTGTTATGGATATAGAGTTTAATGTTATAGTTGTTTTGTTTGTTGGATAATGGAACAAGTTGAAAAAATAGATTTTGGGTAATCAAGCATTATTTTTAGAATTGAAAAATCTTGTGTTATTTAGCGGCGTTTGCAAACTAGAAATGCCGCAATATACCAAACATTTAGCGACGTTTGTATACTACAAACGCCGCAATATACTATGCATTTAGCGGCATTTTTTGCACTAGAAACGCCGCTAATTCTCAACCCTTATTGCGTTGTTTTCGATAAAAACACCGCTAAAAAACATAACTTACTGCGGCGTTTTTGGGAAAAACGTCGCAAAATATCAAAACCTATTGCGGCGGTTTTAAGTAAAACGCCGCTACATCTCAAAACTATTTGCGGCGTTTTTAGAAAAAACGCCGTTAAACATCAACGCCTATTGCGGCGTTTTTCTGACAAACGCCGCTAAATAACAAATCCTATTGCGGCGTTTGTTCAGAAAACGCCGCTATATGTTGTAACCTATTGCGGTGTTTTTTTACAAAAACGCCGCTAACTTTAGCGGCGCTATTTTCAGCGGCGCTTTTTGCGGCGTTTGTCATAACGCCGCATATGTTTTTAGCGGCGCTTAAAAACGCCGCAAAATACCTGTTTTGCTGAAGTGTCTCTTTTTTTGTATTGTCCTTTAAAGTTCTAATATTCCAACGTGTTTAAACACAATTACCTTTAATTAGACGTTTGATTCAAAATTATAGTTACATTCAGATCATCCATGGAGACCATGTTAATTTAGTCCAAATAACTTGTTTATCTGCCTATCTTTCGTCGGCTTCTATCCATGCAAGTAAATGCATCGATTCATTTGGAATTTGCATTGCATCAACAAGATCTGGTGGTGTGTTTTATTCTTACACAACTACGAAATATATCCATCTTGTACTGTTGCGTATATATTTCTTAATAAGAACAAATAGATTATGGGGATTATAGGTAATTTATTCATTTTAGTTTAGATGAGAATACAATCGGTAGTTAGATGATCGTTAATCGATATTAAAATTTTATTTGTCTCTATTAGGAGGTATAATAGTGATGAGTTATGAGTGAAGAGGGAGAATTTATCTCTCTCTCGGCCTTGATTTAGAAGTTTTATAATGATATTTAAGATTGATGTCTGGCATATGATCATGATTACTTCAAGACGCTGGCCGAGCCGACCTATAATGAGGGGTTTATAACACCCAAAAAATTTTGAGAAAAAAATTCTTTATAAATTTTGAGAAAAAAATTCTTTATAAATTTAATATAAAATATTTATAAATAAATAAAACTATATGTTTTTTTAAAATTATTGACGTCCTTAAACATGAACCGACACCCATTATTCATTTTCATCCACTCAAAAAAAATTATTTCATACAAATTTTAAATTTGTCATCCAAAATAATTCCTTTTTTTTCTAATTTTAACACCCAAAATATTTTTTCTAACTCCGTCCCTTCTAAATTAACAAGTTTAGTTGATATAATCAACTTTCAATAGATATAAATTCAATAGGTCACGTGAGTCTGTTAAAAATTGTATGAAAAATTGTACGAAGAGTTCACAAATTACTAAGACAACGTCCTTTCTTTAAAGATGCATAGATGTTTTGCTTAGACTTTTCGAAAGTGCAAATGAGGTACAACAATATTCATATACATACTTAAAGGAGATTGTCCAAGAATTTTAGTTTTGCATGCATACATCGATGGTTTCAAAGCTAATCTCGATACACCATGCACGATGAAACCCTCGAAACATATTGATCAAGCACCGTAAGCTAATGGTTTTGAGATTATTTAATGAATGTATCGTCTAACTCTAGAAGATGAAGAATAGATAAGTCTAAAAATATTCTACGAGTTTTCCATTTTCTCTTCTTCACAATTCTTCATGTTTAAGAAAATACAAACTCGAACACTTCACTTGAATACCCGACATCAGTAAAAACCGAAGATGTTTCTAAGAACATTGGGCCTTAAACTCTTTGGGCCAGGCAAATAGAAGAGAGGTTTGTCTAATACAATGCTTCTGGAGCTTACATTTCCAGGTAAGATTTCCTCATTTGTTTGTTCCAGCTTAAGGGTTTTAACCAACCTTCTGTTGCAAAAAACCCCCCCTAAATTCCATCCCAAAATAATGTCAATTGCTTCACTCTCCCGATTGATTTCACTCGCAAATTACCCGAAACAGACCAGAGTTTTCACGTTTCGATATAGCTCGGCCTATTCTGTTGACAAATTCTTGACCATTTTAGAGAAAAAAAGAAAGCAACGTGGAGAAAACACTAGCTTTAGTCGATGCCAAGTTGGACCCGAATTGTGTCTGCGAGGTGGTAAAAAGATGCTCCTTTGGTATATCTGAAATGGGTCTGAGGTTCTTTATCTGGGCAGGTCTTCAATCAAATTATAGGTATACTTCGTTTATGTATAGCAAAGCTTGTGAGTTTTTGAAGATTAAGCAAAACCCATATCTTGTTTTGGATGTTATTGAAGCTTACAAGGTGGAAAAGTGTTTGGTTAATGTTAAAATGTTCAAGGTGGTTTTGAATTTATGTAAAGAAGCTATGATTGCTGATGAGGCTTTGTTGGTATTGAGGAAAATGCCTGAATTTAATTTATGTCCGGATACTACTGTTTACAATTTGGTTATCAGGCTGTTTTGCGAGAAAGGGGATATGGATATGGCTGATAAATTGATGAAAGAGTTTGGTTTGATTGATCTTTATCCTGACATGGTTACGTATTTTGTGATGATCAAAGGGTTTTGTAATGCTGGTCGGTTGGAGGATGCTTGTGAGTTGTTTCAAGCAATGAAGGGGCAAGGGTTTTCTCCGAATGTCGTGGCATATTCTGTGCTTCTTGAGTCTATGTGTAAGTATGGGAGTACAGAGAAGGCAATGGAATTTTTGGGGGAGATGGAGAAAGCAGGTGGGAGTTGTAGTCCAAATGTCATCACATACACGTCAGTGATTAAAAGCTTTTGTGAGAAGGGTCGGACAATGGAGGCATTGAGAATTTTGGATAGGATGGGAGTTTGTGGGTGTGTTCCTAATCGTGTAACTGTTATTACTTTGATTGAGGGCCTCTGTGCAGAGGGGAATGTTGAAGAAGCATATAGGTTGATTGATAAAGTTGCTGGAAATGGTGTTTCTGATGGTGATTGCTATAGTTCTCTTGTGGTGTCTTTGATTAGGATGAGCAGACTTGATGAGGCGGAGAAGGTCTTTAAGAAGATGTTAGAAAGTGGAACTAAACCAGATGGCATTGCTTCTAGTGTTATGATTAGGGAGATATGTCGTGAGGGACGAGTGCTTGATGGTTTTCTCTTTTATGATGAAATTGAGCGGATGCAATTCATTTCATCCATTGACTCCGATATCTATTCTATTCTTTTGGTTGGCTTGTGTCAGCAAAGCCATTCGGTTGAAGCTGCCAGGCTAGCTAGGTCAATGCTTAAGAAGAAGATTCGCTTGGAATCTCCTTATGTTGAAAAAATTATTGAACATCTGAAAAGTTCTGGAGAAAAGGATCTAGTTACTCAGTAGAATTGCAAGATGATAATTTTAAACAGCTATCTACATGCCTTGGAGAAGCTTCAACATGACATGGTACGGGTAGATTCTAAACTTCTCATTTGATCATCAATCGTGTCTGACTCATATGTTTCTTTGTTTTGAATTTTATTTGACATAATTGCAATTGCCAGGGGTTAAAATCTCAATTTATGGTTTATTACTTTCTCTTGTTAATCAGCCTACATGGCATACCTTGAAGGCCGAAGCGATTTGTATTGCTAAGCAAAGCCACAATTGCATATCAGAATGCTGGTGGGTTCCATAATGCTACTAAATAACTTGTTTATCTGCCTATCTTTCGTGGGGTTCACATGATTTCATTTACCCGGAGGACCAGGACAAAGGAAAATAAATTCAGGGTTATCGAAATCTATGGAAGTAAATGTATCATGAGTGAATGAATTATTTATTTGGAATTCGTGATGCATGAAAAAACCCGGTGTTATGTTTTGTTCTTGACAAAATATGGACCGGATCATTCTTCACTGTATTGAAATGAGAAAGCAGGGGGAACTGTGAGCATCCACCTCTCAATCCCATTGTCTTCTTGTTATACTCAGGTAGCTAATTTGTTTTGAAGCTCTTTGCACTTTAGGGTTCTTAGAGATGCTGAAACAAAGCTCACATGAATGAGTAGATCATTAGCTTTTGTAATTTAGTTTTCAACGGCTTAAATTTGCTTGCGCTGCTCTGATTAGATTGGCCGAAAAGGATGCTTTGAGACCGTGCTATTAAGTTCCATGTCGGTCTCTCTTTGGTATGAAATGGATTACATTATTTAAGAATGTTTGATTTTGTTTGTTTAACCACGATAGAAGTGATGAACTTGCCATGACTATGATCAACTTTAAACGTTCCTTTTATCTTTGCCTTAAAATTCAATGTTAGTTTTAGTGATTATATTCTCATTTGTAAAGTTTACTCGATTCGCAGTTGTGAAGTGCTAAAGAAATGAACATGTTTTCTCTAATATCCATATAATTACAAATTTTGGTAGATCACGGATGATCTTTTTATGATGTGAGAACAGTAGAATTGTAGGTCAAGTTTAAATTTCATTCTCTTTTATATTATATATATATACTTTGAAGACTTGTAAAAGTTATAAAATGCACTAATCTATTGTTATTGACACGTGAACATGCAGCTATTTGGAGATTACAATGGTGCTATTTCATACATTAATCTTTCATGAATGTTAGTTCAATAATTATTTTTTTTTAGTGCAAGTTTAAAAATCCTCTCCGACTATATTTACCCTTTTATTTTTGAGAAAATCGCCTTAGTGACCAAAAATACCTTATAACATACGATTTTAACTAACTTTTTCCGGATTTGCCAAAATGACCAACAAAATCGCAATGCGATCGCTAATTCGCAACGCGATCTCCATTATCGTAAATTCGCGTTGCATTTCGAGTTGCGATGGTTGAAAATCGCGTTGCGATGGTCTACAGTATCGTTGCGATTTTCCCAATTCGCAATGCGAATAAGTAAATCGCAACGAGAATTGGGAAAATCGCAATGCGATACTGACTATCGCAATGCGATACTCACAATCGCAATGCGATAATACAAAATCGCAACGAGATACTGACTTTCGCAACGCAATTTACATAGCGCCATTCGTATTAACGCGTATTTTTTTTTTCAAATTCCAAACACGAATTTTTTCTTAATAAATCGGAAACTGAACCGTCCACAATAATCGCAACTCATAACCTCAAACCCAAAATCACAACACTCAGTCACATCTCCATCTCTCACTCTCTATGGCGAAATCCGTCCCCATCTTCGAAGATTTTCGTCCCCATTGCCAACGAAATCCCTCACAACCATTCACAGTCAAAAATCCCTCACAATCATTCAGAAATGGAAAATTAACATTCGAGGGTTAGTTTTTTTGTTGTTGAAAATTTTGCATTATTTTAGGTTTTTCATATTGAGATTGATGATAAGTTTACTGGTAATTTCAATAATAGATTAACCATTTCACTTAGATTTCTTATTAAATTCATTCGATTGTTGCCAATACTGCTAAACTGTTTAGCCTGTGAAGTTAGTATTTGTCTTTGTTTTGTCTTTTGGTTGAAGTAATGTAGAAGAAGAATAGTTTCGAGAATGAAAATCGCAACGCGGAAATAACTATCGCAAGGAGAAATAAAAATCGCAACGCGAAACCAAAATCGCATTGCGATTTTCATTTCGCGTTGCGATTCTCTCGTCGCGATAGTCATTTCGCGTTGTGATTCTCTCGTTGCGATAGTCATTTCCGCATTGCGATTCTCATTATCTCGTTGCGATTTTCATTTCAACCAAAAGACAAAACAGTGTTGCAAATTTTAGTTTCAAAAATAAACTACTATTTATGTTTATTGTTTTTGGTATATCTTGACAGTGTAGTTTTTGGTAATCTAACTTGATATGTTTATTGTTTTTGTAGAAATTTTTTCGGCTTCATTGACATTAAGGAATAAAGTTAGCCTAGCCACTATAATTGCTTCGAAGCTTTCACCTGCACAAAGAAAATTGTTTGAGGAAACCTGCTTCGGGCCATGGCTGAGAGTACAGCATCCGGGTGGAGATGTTAATTTGACCCATTTGTGGCTTCAGACCATGACTAGCGATCTACCCGACAGTATACAACGTGGTGAGGAAGAGATATGGTTTCATTTTCCACCGGCGTATACTTATTTTGGGCGGAAGGAGTTCTGCTTAATCACTGGTCTACGATTCGGACACGATGATGTAGGCCGATACACTCGTCATATCACCCGCCCATCATGGTTATCCAGGGTTTTTCCTGATGAGTCAATAGAGAAGCCGAACTTACACGTCGACGACATGAAGAAATTGTTTAATAAGAAAGATGGTTTTACTCGGATGAATGACGTCGATGTTGTCCGAGTATGCCTTCTACTACTTTTGTATGCCGGCTTTTTAGGCAGAGAGGCCAGACAACCTATTCCTCAAGAGCTAATATTATTGGTAGATGACCTAAATGCATGGAATCTGTTTCCGTGGGGTTTGTATTTATGGAAAGCTACCTGGACTAAGTTGTCGTCTGCCTTTGATGACCGCAAAAGTTTGCGGGGTGATGGGTCGAAATACACTTTGTCAGGCTTTGTTTGGGCCTTTAAGGTAAGAATTTCTATATAATGTTTTCAAAATTATAATTAATTATTTAACAATTACTAATGTTTGTTATTATATTGTTTGTAGATTTAGATATTCGAGGCCTTTCCCGCCATGAAGACATATGCAATAAAAACTTCAAATGATATTCCCAAGGCTATTTCCTGGAAGAGGAAACGTCTGTTGGATTGGGAAGACTTAATACCATATGCGACAATAAATAATGTAAGTTAACACAAATACTATCATATATAAACAAGTTATTAATAATAGACGTTTAACTTTGTTTGAGTTTTTATATTTTTAGGAGGCCAACATTCCATTAATGAGACTGACACCCACGGAGGCTGAGCTTGCCACTGATTGGTGGCAAGCTAGTCAGCGTTTTCTTGATGGCACGAATGATGAGAAGCCTCCACTTCCTCCACTTCGAGAGCCATCACCTCACCCAGAGCCATCACCTGATCGACCCGACTATACACCTCTACAACGAGAGCCATCACCTATCCCGTCACATCATCGAGCCTCTTCTCCACCACCACCTCATGATAGGCGACCGGCAAAGATGCTATGACTTCTATCTCCCTGTTCTCCACCTCCACGGGATGAGTCAAGGGAGTTACGTGATGAGGTCAATGCCTTGCGTGAGGAGATCGGTACTCTACGCGATAACGATGGTGCATGGCGTGTGGAGATGTCTACTTTACGTGGTGAGGTTTTCGCTCTACGTGAGATGGTAGTATCGTTGTAGAATGAGGTTCATACTCTACACAACGAGGTAAGTTTAAGATTTTCCATATTTAACTTGATGATAAATTTACTCGTAATTTCACCTAAATTAACCATTTCACTTAGATTGCTTAGTAAATTTATTCGGTTGCTGCCAATACTACTAAACTGTTTATTAACACTGTGAAGTTAGTATTTGTCTTTTTGTTTTTTCTTTTGGTTGAAGTAAATTTATTCGGTTGCTGCTAATTCTGCTAAACTGTGTATTCTTTAACACTGTGAAGTTAGTATTTGTCTTTGTTTTATCTTTTGGTTGAAAGTTTGAAATATATTTGTCTTTGTTTTCACTGTTTAAATATCATGTCTGTTTATTTACTGATATTTGTATTTAATTATTTAGCGGACCGATAAGGTGGATGCTTTACGTCGGGTTTTTCTTGCACGACAAAGTTAACGCATCAAACGGCGTGCACGTGCTATTAAGTCTCCGTATACCCTAATAGTGCGAAGACACCGCAAGAAGAAGCCCGACTCGCCTGTCATCCCTCAAGAGTCCACTCCTATCGTTGAAGAGGCCCCTATCATTCCTCGAGAGTCCCCTCCTACCGTTCAAGAGGCCACTGTCATCGTTGAAGAGGTCCCTCCCACCATTCAAGAGCCCGATTCACATGGCGTCATATGTAGGATTCTTGAGAAACCCTCTGACGTGCCGGACATGATGGATTCAAGTTGGCTCTCGTATGAGTTACCGGCTAGTACCATACCGGTATATGAAGTGGAGAGGAAACAACTACCGGACACAATTCTGGATAACACCCTTTGGGCTAAGATCGCAGTTGATTTTTATCTACATGAGCGAAGCCAGGGTTGTTTCACTGACATATGCAAGCTCAACGATGATATCTATTTGTTGCTTGATCGTTCTTGGTGGGGCGTATTATTAGGGGTCGAAGACAATGGCTATTTCGATGGAGGGGTAAGTCTTATATTTTTCTTATATTTTAATTTGATTATTTTTTTAAAATTTATGTAAGTTACTAATATATGTCTTTTTTTGTAAAATAACATATCGATGCGTGGGTGTCACGTCTTCTAATAATTAGGAAACTTAAGGAAAATAAAAGAAATACACGATATACAATTATGCCGACGTCTTTTAACGCCGCTCACTTGAAGAATCAACGAGATGAATCATTTGCGTTGGGCAATGGACAAGCTAAACTTTATCCTGCATGGTGGGAGGTCGATAAGGTTAATGTTTATTTTAGATTGAGTTTAAAGGTATTTATAAATAAGTGCACAAATGAATGAATTATTACTTATGATGGCAGGTGTTTATCCCTGTTTTGGAACATAAACATTGGCTTCTCGTCGAGCTTCAGATCCCATCCCTTAAGGCAATAGTATATGACAGCATGATAAATTACATATCATTGGCTGATTTAAGAGATATTATTAAGGGATGGAGCTCTTATTTTGCTAAATTCTTGGATGCGATAAATTATTGGACTCGGTCTTGAAACAAGAAGCCAAAGAAGCTCAATATTACAGTTAGCAGAGACGAGACCGCACCACAACAAACGAAAGGACCCAGAGGGGATTGTGGTCCTCTCGTATGCTTGGCGTTGGACCATTTGATCACAGGAAGTATAAAGTATCTACCTCCCACCGATAGAGATAGAGCTGCAGTAGGCTTGCGGTTTCGGCATTATATGACTAAATCGATATATACGAGACGCTGCCTACCTGCA